TGAATCTTAATATCTTTATAACTACTAATTCAATTTTTATGAAATTTAAAATATATATTTATCAAATCTAGAGCAATCTGATTGCATAATTTAAAGTTCTAATCTTGCAAATTATAGCAAAAATATTTAAAATATCTTTTTTTTAAAAAGAATAATTTTATTTTAGTTTTTTTAGTAAAGTAATGCTAAAATTGTATAAAAAATTAATTTAAATTATTCTTTATTTAGTATAAAAAAATTATAAAGATTGGTTAAAATTTGAATGATTTTTATTAGAAGCAATTATTAATTTTATATTGATATATAATCTTTTTGCACCAGCCTATATTAATAATATATATATAATGCTTCTTTATAAAAATATTCTGTATATTTACAATATTTTGTGTAAATAAATTATAAGATTTATATTTACATAATTTTTATTTTTTGAATTACTAAAATTATATATCTAAATAGCTATATATATGCAATTTATATAAAAATAATTATATATATAGATTCATGTGCTCTAAATGTGTGCAAATATAAGAACTAAGAAGTTTTATTATTTGGCATAAACTCTAAATTATATAAAATAATTAATCATTTCATGAATATTTATATAGAAATAATATTTTACTTTATTTTATGAACAACTAGTGGATAAATAAGAATCTTGTATAAAATATTTAATACTTGAATTATATAAAGTGATTCTTAATATTATTGCAGATAAATAATAATTAATTAAAATATCATAATTATAATATAAATAAATACTGAAAATAAATAACTTTATTAAATAGAAATAATAAATAATAAATTAAATTTATAAAATTGAGTCAAAAACATGAGTATATTTTTTCAAAATCAAAAGACTCAACCAGTTCTCCTGCTCGATCGTGACCATTTTCATGAGCTTTTTGGTACCATTTTAATGCCATGTTAAGATCTTTTTGAATTCCGAACCCATGTTGATAACATTCAGCAACCTTAAATTGTGAGATATCCATACCAGATTCAGCAGATCTTAAATACCATTCAAATGCTTTTTTCTCGTTACGATTTATTCCATTTCCTTCAAAATAACATTTTGCAAGAAAATGCTGAGCATATTGAGTATGAACACTATCTGATTCTGCTGATTTCCGGAAACATGAAAATGCTTTCTGCAAAATTCTATCAGTACCATCTCCATAATAATAACTTCTACCAAGTTCGAATACATGTATTTTCATTACTATCATCCTTTGATAATTTTGAAAACAATTCAAATGCTTTTTTTTCATCTCATTGTATTCCACAACCAATTCGATAGCAATTACCGAGATTAAACTGTCCATAAATACATCCACCTTCTGCAGATTTTAAATACCACTCAAATGCTTTTTTCTCATCTTTTTGTATTCCTTTTCCATTTTCATAACAATCACCAAGATTACATTGTCCATAAATGCTTCCACCCTCTGCTGATTTCAAATACCACTCGAATGCTTTTTTCTCATCTTTCTGTGTCCCACAACCAATTCGATAACAATCACCGAGGAAAAACTGTCCGTCAATGCTTCCGCCCTCTGCTGATTTCAAATACCATTCGAATGCTTTTTTCTCATCTTTTTGTGTTCCAATTCCATTTTGATAACAATTACTGAGGTTAAACTGTCCATTAATACTTCCGCCCTCTGCTGATTTCAAATACCATTCGAATGCTTTTTTCTCATCTTTTTGTGTTTCTATTCCATTTTGATAACACCAACCAAGATTACATTTCCCTTAATACTTCCACCCTCTGCTGATTTCAAATACCACTCGAATGCTTTTTTCTCATCCTTTTGTGTTCCAATTCCAATTCCATAACACGAACCAAGGTTACATTGTCCATAAATACTTCCACCCTCCGCCGATTTCAAATACCACTCGAATGCTTTTTTCTCATCCTTTTGTGTTCCAATTCCATTTTTATAACACCAACCAAGATTACATTGTCCATCAATGCTTCCATCCTCCGCCGATTTCAAATACCACTCGAATGCTTTTTTCTCATCCTTTTGTGTTCCAATTCCATATTGATAACAACTCCCAAGGCAATATTGTCCTCTAGAATCTCCGCCCCTCGCTGAGTTTAAATACCATTTATATGCCTTTTTGTTGTCTTTTTGAATTCCTATACTATTTTGATAACAGAAACCAAGAACACAATTAATTCGAGCGTCTCCGTTTTCAGCTAATTTCAAGTACCAATCAAATATTTCACTAACTTTTTTGCCTCTATTTTTTTTGAATTGTTGATAATGAATCCAAATGTCTTTTAAGCAATTATTATTTTTTGGTATATAACTCTTCATAAATTAAATAAATAAGTCGAGGCTCATTAATTAATGCTATTTCATATTGATAATAATCATTAGCAAGCGATTCATCTTTTTAAATAAATATCAATGATGTTTTTCTTATGCTATCAATTTCATCATGGCTTTTATCTTGTATTATTGATTTTATTCTTAAAGCTATCTGTTTCAATTTTTTACTTTTGGAAGAAAGCATTTGTTGAAAAATTGCTGATAGTCTTTCGTGAAGCCTTGAATTATCAGATTCATCTTTGTTTTTTATTTTAGATTTTGAAAATGTTAATAAACCCATATTGCATTTTGGGGGGGGGGTAATGGATTATCGAGAGGTTAAATTTCTTTGTACTCAATCTATGAAGGGTTAATGAGACTCTAGATAGTGCACAAAATCAGCCAGAAGATGAACTGTTACTTTGTGTTCTTAATTCTTTTTTTCTGCATGAATGAAAAGTTTATTAGAAATTTCCATGTACACGTAAAGGTATATGTACAAACTGTATCGAACGCTTTTGTAACGTATCACCATTACGCACAATACCAATCAACAAAACCCTTTAAAAACCACCACATTTCCATACTCTGATAATTTTTTCTTTGTCTTGATTATTCTATAATAAATTAATAAAATCTTAATTCGGATTATAATTATATGATTTTTAATATGATAAGCTTAATTTATGTATTAATTCGAAAGCAGAAAGGTTATGCTAAATAAATAAGTCAAAGCATAGCATGAATGTAGAACTTTCCTTTTTTTTATATGGAAAAAATTTAAATTCTTCTATTAAGAAATTATTTTTTTTAGTTTTTTTAGTCAAGCGGACTTTTTGAAAATTTGAATAACGCAAATACATATAGTCCACACGGAAAGTTATGATATGTGCACGAGTCTTCCTCATCATCAAAAAATTTGACCCTCAATCTGGAAGAAATTTAATTAAATCTCGCTGCAATCCTGAAAAAATTTTTAAATAAATTATACTCATATTCATTCAATCATTCACTTTTTAATTATAAAGAAGGCATGCGGAATGCAAATATTAAGAGTATAATCACTGTTTATAGCATTCTACAATAATTATTCTGAATTGTATTTATTTCTATTCCATATGGACTGAATCAGTATAGAGCGATAAAACTATAGAAGAGTTTAATTATATGATAATGATTGGTGAGTTTAATTATATGATAATGATTGGTGAATAGAAAATATTAATTTTATTGTTAATGATGATGTCCTAAACTAAAAAATTTTAATATAAACCTAAACCTAAACCTAAACTGGTATTTACCAAAATTCCAAAACTTGATTAAAAAGTCACAACATATATCCTTAAAAAAGTAGGTCGAGGAATATCCGAATCCGGAAAGCCCGATTGTACATATTTGAATGTCTTCATACACTACAATAATACAAACAATCGGTACTTAACACAAGAATCAACCAACTTACATGGGAGCATGATAGTAAGAATAGAAGTTTTATGGCTTATTTAAAGTGCACTCAGTAATGGATTCGAATACTCATGATTGAAAATCTAAGAGGTGATAAAAAAGAATTGTTGCAAAAAAAAGTTACTACTTGCAATGTTTTAAATATCATAAACAATTTATAAACGTTAAAGGTCTAGAAAAATTAAAAATTTAACTTATATGTATACATACATTGCAATTGCTGTACGTTTGCTAGTGATGGGATCCTCAAAATTATTTGAAATTTTTAACTTGACTTGTAGATAAAAAGTTTTGCAATGATTAATAAATATACATAATGTGGGCACAATTTACCATAAATTGGTAAGATATATTAGAAAAACGAATTCTTGGAACTCATATCAAAATTATATTTGAATAAAGACATTAAAATCGATATAAAATGCTCTTAATATATCTTAAATAACAATATAAATTACATATCAATATAAATTTCTCCAAAATATTATTAAAAAAAATGAATCTTGTTAATGATCAATTAGTAAATAAAATTTCTAATAGCAATATGTTCATGTCTAAATCTTTCTTGTGAAATTTTCGCTGCATCATCATAATTTTCATCCGTTTATTTTCCCATAGAATCATCACTGTTTGCAGCTTTTAAGTAAAAAAGAAATACGTTTTGTGTATTTTTGCGCACGCCTTTGCCGAATTTATGTGCGTTACCAAGTAAAATGAAAGCATAGATAGTTATTTTGTTGTTGTGCTGATTTTTGAAACCAATGATAAGCTTTGGTGTAATCAACGTCGACGCCTTTCCCTGCAGAATAACAGTGACCTAAACAACATTGTGCATAATCGTTTCCACCTTCTGCCGAACGCTGAAACCATTTGAATGCTTTTGCATGGTCAGTTAAAGTACCTGTTCCCTCTATATAACATCGTCCAAGACGCGCTTGTGCATCAGGAAAACCGAATTTCGCTGCTGACTGGAAACATAGAAAAGCTTTTTCTTCATCTTTATTGACATTAGTGACCTTTTTCAAAGGATCCGCCGAGACAGAAAAGTCCAACTGGGCTCCTAATTCGGCTGATTTGGTGAAAGCACAAACGCTTCTGTTGGATTCATCTTTATGCCATCACCTATCAAATAACAGAATCCTAATCACGCATGTGCTTCTGCATTATTATTACCCGCCGATTTTCGACATAATTTTAGACCCTTGATTTTGTCTTTTGGAGTACCAATTCCTATCATATAGCAAGTTGCGAGGCTTAACTGTGCTTTTGGCTCTGCATTAATAGCAAAATTTTCAAATATTTTGAAACCAAGAAACGGATTGCGTTGTATGCCGATGCCGTGGATTAGACTAAATGCAACTTCGAGTTTTGCGATCGAAAAGCCTTGATCCGCAGATTTTTTGTACAATTCAAATGTTTTCTCTCTATTTGACTTTATTCCTATTTCATATTCGTAGCAATATCTGAGCATGTAAATTCACGTTTGATCCGCAATTAGATTGAACAAATTTTTTTAATTTCGATTTGTTCGTACCATTGATTAATCATAATATTACTTTTCACGGTGCTTCCGATTCGATTTCGGCAAAACAATATGTTAAAAGAAAATAACAAAAATTGTGGTCTTACTGTATTCCCTACGTTACGTTTTTCCACCAAAATTTCGTTATTATTAATTGTAAAATCATTACGATAAGCATAATTCTCATAGTTTAAATGCATTTTTTTCTTTGTTAATCTTGAAGGAACATTTTTAAGTTAGTAAAAAAGTTTCTATGTTTATTATTAGCGTTAACATAACGACAAGAACACCAATTTTTACAAATATTGCGTCAGACACAAAACACGATGACGATAGATCAAATTGATAATATACATGTATCTGGTTTTTCCTCGATTAATATTGCAAATTTTTGCATAAGTGTTATCCTAACCTTATCGTTATTCTTTCTCGTATTATTAGTATGAATGAAATGAAATAAACAACGACTTTGATAGATAGCGATCTTTTAGTGGGATTACTGCATGTGCAGCATGAATAGACCTGTTTTTTATATCACGTACAGTATAAGGTTAATTTATTGTGACTGCACAAGATTGAGTTAATGTTCAGACTCCTGTAATTTTTCCCAGCGTAATTCATTATAAATTCCAGGTGTTGCAATTAGGAAAAGTTCGGTTCAGTTTGATCCTTAACCTAAGTTCGGTATGGTGGTTTGGTTTGGTTTGATTCGTATTCTGCCAGAGTTTAAAATTAAAAATTCACCGTTATGTAATTGAGACAAACTGCCTACATTAAACCGGCTTTAAACCCAAAGTTTGGTTTTAAAATAGCAAACCTTTAAACCGAGTTTAATTCAACTTCTCCATCTCTAGTTGCAATACCCATTCTACTGGAAATCAATTTATTACATGTGCAAAATAAAAAATGATTACCGGTTCATTGTATAGATGTTTTCAGTGATAGCTATCAATTAAATATTGTTATAATAATTAATAGGACAAAGATAACTCGACACTCCCCATCCAGTTTTGAAATACTTTTGAGTAAAGAAATATTTTTAAATTATTCTCTTCAAAACATTCTTCTTTGTCACAGTTCTAATACTTCTTTCAATTGAATGTTTAAATCAATTCTAAAATCGGAGAGTATTGAGTTACAGTTCTCATCGTATATCGCAAAATGACACAAGGATATAATTTCGAATTTCGGCCTGAATGCGGATCGTGCATAGACGTTATTACACAAAATATGATATTAAAATAACAAGAAATAAAAAACTATTAGTATATATCTCACACTGTAAAATTAAGTCATGTAAATCTATCAAGTATACTTATAAACATCAAATATTAATTCAATAAATTAAACCACCCATGTATGTAATAAAAAACCTATAATAAAATCTATTTTTTAAGAAAGTTTTTATTTTATATTAGTTTTGTAGTTTTTTCTGCACTGTGTCATATTGCTGCACCACATATTATTACGTCATCACATGGTATATAAAACAGGTGCTTAAGAGTATATGTATTATAAATACTCTAAGCATGATTTTGCTGTGTACTCACCCATACAATGAGTTGTTCTTGCTTTATCGTTCTTTAATATTATTATTTAGCGCCTTTATATTTATTAGTATTATTTAGTCTAGTTTATTAACTACAATCAAATCTCTCTATAGTCATTAGCTTGAAAAAATGAGATTTTTTAATTATAATTACATAATAATTTGAAAAAATCAAATTGAATAATTATAAGATAATATAAATATAAAGAAATTTGATTATAATATACAGCTTTTTGAAACTTAATGAGAATTGAGTGCAAAGTTTATTAATTGATTTATCAGAACCTAGAAAATAGAATGATATGCTTTACACTTAATTTTCATTACTGAATATCAAGTCATCAAGTTCCAAAGAGGCATGCATAAAATCATTCACAAAAAAATCAAAATTTCACATTTGACCTCTTTGAAACTTAATATCTTGAGATTTAGTGATTAGAATCAAATATAAAGGCGTATCATTTAATTCCTTAGATTCCTGTATATAGATTGATGAATTTTATATTTGATCCCGCCACTGGATATTGGGATATAAAATCCTAACGAGGCTATGCATTAAATTATTCACCAAAACATAAGTCAAAATTGCATGTATGATTATGCTCTTAATATCTTGAAACCCACCGGCGGAATTCGAGCATAAAGTCCGTCATTTGATTTCCTAGGTCAATTTCTACCACATGTCAAAAATCCATGGTGCTCTTACTTTATGTAATAATTTACAATTTATGATTTATAAAAAAGAAATACAGAAATAAATTTGTTTTAATACCTATAACATAATATAGTAATTAAAATTTAATTAGAACAAATATTTTCATTATATTATTTGAAAATATATGTTTCCATTTAGAAAGAGAGAAATATTTACTTTTGGAATTTATTTATAATTACATAGCGATAGTTTAAAACATGTTATGTTGTACCATTCTATTTTTATTATAAATTATTAAAATTTGTTACCAGCACCGGGAACGATACATTTTACTCACAATTTTCCAGGGTATATTATATTTTATATATACATTTACTACATATATATATATATTGTATCATACCTCTCCTTAACTCTAAAATTTTGTGTGCGTGAGTCGTTCCTATTATATATAAGAACACTTTTTACATGTATCTAGATGTTTGGCATTTATGCAATTCGTCCCTCTTCCTTACACAGCACCCCCGGTACCAATAATTTTGATCACCCTTTCCCTTAATATATAGCCCGGCTACATCTCCAAATTAAGAATATAGTGCGATGTGAAGTATTTTATCCGGACATGTACATGTAGTTGGTTATTGATACATGTATTAAATGTGATAAAAACATAATGCATAATGATTTTTTCTTTTCGTCCCTGTAACTTTACAAATAAAACTAGCAACTTTGCTCATTTAATAGACAAAAAATAATATTAAAATTGAAAATCAATGTTCACTATTTGCTTTGATAATCAGGAATTGCAAAGCAGCCTTGGAAAAACAATGAGAATATGTGATCTAAATGACCGGAAGAAGAAAAGTTGTATATTTTATATTTACGTGATACGAATATTTTTTAAAGAAAACCAATTTATTATAAAAAGATTGAACTTTGCGAAATAAACTACATTCATATTAATACAGTAAATAAGAAAGTCGTATAAAGAATTACATAGTACGTGTTCATTATTGTATTGATATTCAGATTCAAAGCTTATCCGTGGCATCTCCATTTAAAATAGCTCATTTGCAGGAATTTAGTTCATCATTTTTTTATGTAAGACCAACCACTTTTCTATAATGTGAGTAAAAATAAGATTCACGGCGAGTTTCTTGCTATCAATGAATAATCACATTATCTAATATTTGTGATAAATGTGATTGCCTTCCATTTTTATCTCGGAGAAAGTATTTGTACTACGGAACACTCGACGTTAATGTATTCGGTAAAATAATAGTCCGAACATGAGAACTGACCAGAGGAAGGAAAAATGAAATAGAGTATCTTAACATATAATTGGTAGTTTAAGAAAAAATGCAAACAATAAAGCATGTGTGATATATATTAAACAAAAAAAAAAGCGTACAAACTAATTTTGTAGGAAAATGTGTGTTTTATAAATAAAGGAATGGTCAGGAAAGTAAAGATATGACGGAACCAATTATCCAATACGAGTTTTTAATAAATACGGAGCGAATTAGTATTTTTTTTTAAATTTTACAACTAATCTGTGCGTTTGGATAGTAAACAAAAAAAATGTCTAATCTAAATATCGATACTATTAGTAGCGATAGTATAAGCGAAGAGACGACAAAACAAAATTCATTAGAAATTAAATCCAACGATAAAAACAATGCAACTCTTCTAACAATAAAAATTATCGATAACGATAATGAAGAACATAACAATGAAAAAAATGAAAAAATATCATCTCCACAATCTCTTCCTCTAGCTCCACTTGATCCCGGTGAAAAAGTAAATGACCAAACCAACCAACTACCATTTAAACAACTAATCATCGTATTTATGGGACTAGCATTAGCCATATTCTTATCTTCGCTTGATCAAATGATTGTTACCACCGCATTGCCAAGAATTGCATCGGATTTCCATGCATTATCCGATATTTCGTGGGTGGCTACATCATATCTCCTAACCTCGACATCATTTCAACCACTCTATGGAAAAATTTCAGACATTTTTGGTCGTAAATTCACTTTTCTATTTGCTATTAGTACATTTGTGGCCGGATCAGTATTATGTGGTGCATCGATAGATATGCCAATGTTAATTGTTAGTCGAGCGATTGCTGGTATTGGTGGAGGTGGAATTATGTCATTAGTAATGATCATTATTTCTGATATTGTCCCATTAAGAGAACGTGGCAAATATCAGGGAATTTTAGGTGGGACCTTTACCATTTCATCAGTTCTTGGACCCCTAATTGGAGGTGTATTCACTGATCGTCTTTCTTGGAGATGGGCATTCTATATTAATTTACCTACTGCTGCGTTAACAATCACAATTATTATTACGATTCTTCATTTGCCGCATGTTTATGGTTCATTTAAAGAGAAACTAAAACGCATAGATTTTCTCGGAACCACATTTCTTATTGCCTCAACTGTCACTATTTTATTACCACTCAACTGGGGTGGAAATACTTACCCATGGAATTCATCAATCGTAATCTCATTATTTTGCGTTGGTGCAGTTCTCATTTGCGTATTCCTTTTCATCGAATTCCGAATCGCTGTTGAACCAATCGTTCCACAGCGATTATTTAAGATCAGAAATCCCGTTCTAGTTTATATTGGAAGCTTCTTTATCGGAATGGCATTTTACGGCTTTATCTATTATTTACCATTATATTTTCAAGCTGTTCGAGGATACTCGGCAACAAAAGCTGGACTACAATTACTCCCATTAGTACTTGGTCTCGTGGCTTTCTCAACTGGATCCGGATTCGCAACATCATTATCAGGACGTTACCATCCTTGGATCATATTTGGATACGGACTAACAACAATCTCCGCCGGATTACTAAGCACACTAAATGAAAACTCCAATCGTGGGGAAGAAATCGGGTATCTCTTAATGGCTGGTGCTGGTCTCGGATGCTCAATGCAAACCGCATTGCTAGCAGCCCAATCTGCCGTAGAATATAGGGATATCGCTGTAGTAACTTCACTCTCGTCTTTTTTCCGAACAATTGGTGGCGTTTTCGGTGTCGCTATCTCTGGCTCGATTTTCAATAACAAACTTTCGTCACATCTCGTTGATGTTTTGCCTCCAGGAATCTCGTTTGATTTAGTGAAAAATTCCGTGGAATATATCCGAAGTTTACCTCCTGATGTCCAAGTACCTATTATTCATGCTTATGTGCAATCGTTACGTTACGTGTTTCTTATTGGGGTACCAATGGCTGGTGTTGCATTTATTCATAGTTTATTTATTAAGCACGTTCCGTTACGTAAGACATTGGGTCCAATAGAGAAGGCTCCTATAGATAAATAAGAGATTAATTTTCTGTATATAGACAATATTTAATTCGATTATTATTTAAATCTAGTTTTAAAAAAGTTTTTATAACTCTTGATTTTTTATAAAGTATATTTATTTTAAAAAGTAGATTTTAATTTTTTTCTATAACATAATCGTATAGAGTAATCATTAATACATGTTTTACTGCATGAAAAGTTAATGTAGAAAAAACTACCAAAAAGTACATAAGGTTCAACAAAAAACAAAAAGAATTCAAACAAAAAAACCAATTATTAGCATTTCGATTCATTAAATTCAAATTTACAATATTTATTACTTTACATAATACAGTCAAAGCTTTGATTTAGCGATATGTTGATTTAACGAGGTTGGCAAATACCGAACAAAATAAATTTCCCTGTTCAGTATGTAAAATTAGTTTAATTTACCGAGAAGTAATAATATTTTCGCGATTTAACATTTACTAAGATAAATTTATTATCCCTATTAAAGAAAATTGCATCGGCGTTTTGCGATGAGTTTGAATCAACTATTTTTTTAGAATTTTTGAAACTCCAGCAATGCCACACAAGAATAGGTCTATAAATTACAATTACATGTACATGTATTAAGGAAATTTTCTAAAATTCAGCATGCGCGTCTTAGCGATGACCAATCGTCGATATCACGTGAAAGCTGAAGACAATATTAACAACGATTATACCGGTGCATAAGTTGCAAAATATTTGCATCATTAAATCGAGCTGTTGATTGTACTCGTATTCAAAAATTCACGATTTTCTTTAAGGAAGCGCTAGTATTTCTTCAATATACCGAATTTTGCCAATCATACACTTCTAACCAGTCTTTTGTCAATGATTTTGCTTCATCAGTGTCAGTTCTACAAGCTATAAAAATCGAGTTTTCGGCATCTTGTAAAATTTTCCATTTTGAAATTTGTGTCTCTTACACGACAAACAAATTCGTCAGCGTGTCTGCATGATATTTTTGCAATTCAGCAAAGAACGCTGCCTAATTATATTTCAATAACATTAAGTTTTATTAAATCGCATAATTATTGTTTCTGCGAGCAATGGAACTCTCGATACGATTTTTCCGCAATGTTTAATATTTTTTGTTATCTTGAATTGGAAGGATACGTAACACGAAAGAATAAACCAACTTTTATATTATGTTAAGTTTGGAAATGGAAAATATTTGAGCTATCTTTTTATTTGCGTAAAAATTTTCAATTTTAATGAATTAATTCTTTTAGTTTGTTATTATGACACTCTAACCTTTTTAAATTTCGACAATTACTAAGGTCTACACTGGTTAATTTATTAGAAGAACAAGCCGTTTCTTTCTATTTCATCTATAAGGTGAACCTACCAATTTTTGTGTACCCCCCCCAATTTCGCGTATTTTATTTTGGAACACGATAATTCTACTTCCGATTGTTGGATTTGTGCCAAAAAATTCCGACATTAGATTTGCCTCGATAAAACGAATCTGAAAGGTGATATTTTGGTCCAAATCTAACAATCGGATGTCGAGTCATCGTGTCCCGAAATTAATGCACGAAAATGGAGGGATACGCGAAAATTGTTAAGTTCACACCTAAACCATTTTGAAAAAATTTTAATTTCGATCATTTGATTAAACTAGTTGCCACTAATCAATCTTTTTTGGCTAAATAACAAAGCTTTTCCTAAACTTATCAATATTAAATTAAGTTTTGGATTGAAGTTAATTAAGAAAAGAATTTGGATTAGTTTCGGCTCTTTTTAATTTTTCATGTGGTTGTGCTTCTGCGGGCATCTTTAATAAAGATACCATTTTTATCTTCAGGTCACTTAACAAGAATATTTATTTAAAAATAAGCATAGCGGGTTTGTTTGATGTACTTTATATTATTAATTGTGATCATGGTTATTTTTTTTTAATGCACAGCTCGATATCGGATACAACAAAGTTGTCATTGTTTTAGTGTGTTAGAAATTGGAACTCTGGACAATTCTCAAAAAATCTATCAATACTTTTATGCATAATCAAATAATGTACTTCAAAGATACCGATACATGTAAGATCCACTGGCATTGTGCTTTTAATACATGTACATGTGCATGTAAGTTATTTATTTGTACAAAGTAATACATGTACATGTGTAAAGCACGTGAAACTATGATCGCTCCACTTAGATTTGTACTAAAGCTGGGTAGTAAAGATTGGTTTAATCCATATAAATCTTATTTGTAGCTTTGTAACTCAAGTAAGTTTATTCATATGATAATTAAAAATATTAAATCTCGTAGAGTCGGGACATATATTAAATGTCGTTATTCGCTAGCTTTTCACATGTGTCGTGTACGGAGATTGGTGTCATTAAGGATGTTGATTAATGACTTAAAGTCTAATCGTATTTTTGAATGCATACTGTGTCTATTCTGCAGAGTTCCTTTTATTTTCTTAATATCTAGATAAACTTTTTGCATGGAATGTAAAATGCCAAAGATACTATATATATGTGATGCGGTGTTTACTGACTAAAGTTCAAACTGCTAAATTCTATTCTAAATCCTATACGTATATTGCATCTCTTCATAAATTAAGTTCCAAAACTACATGTGAAAATTTTAATTATATCACACCCTTTTACATCGAATACTATTCCAATCTAAATAAGAATAAAAACCATTTAGATTTGTTTTAGATATCACGATATCCGTTAATCTATAATTGACATTCGAGTTTCTACCCTATATAATTTCCTCTTACCGTATACTCGCGAAATAACGGGCATAGACGTGATTTCGAAAATCGCACCTTTTAAAAATAGTCCATACGCTTCGAAATAATGCCCATGTGCGTCCCGAAATAACGCGCACCCCTTATTTATATCATGCGTAAACATTATAATCAATGATACCTGACGAAACCTTTCGTCAAGTAATTTTGCTTTAGCGAATATCGATATGTAATTTAGAGCTAAATAGTCGATTTCAGTACTAGGTTGGAACTACCTGAAAACTTCTTAAGGCGAATGAATTATGCGACAAATGATTTTTGTAACGTTATACATGTGCATGTACAATTAAATTGAATGAAATCAATATACATTTACACACATGTAACGGTAGTAAATGTCGCATATTAAAATGAAATTTTTAACCAAAATTATGCAATCATGTAGAACATTTGGCCAAAATTATTATACAAATGGAATGAACATGATTTGAAAATCTCAGGATCGAAAAATCGACTCTTTATTCGAAATAACGTACACTGGCGTACTCAAAATAACGATGTGCGTTATTTCGCGAGTATCAGTATATACAGTACATGTAAATAGAAGTATCTTAGAAAAAAAATTTAATTAAAAATATAACAAAAAGTTTCTCTATAATCACAATTTCTTTCTATCACATTATTATATAATTATAATTAGAATTTTATCTATATATTCTCGAATCATAAGCAAAACTAACTACTTTTATCTTAATAAATTTTAAGAACTTAAAACCTGTGTTTTTATTATTACTTTCCCTATAAGAAAAATCAGCATGGAAAAACCTGTAAATGAATTGTAAATATCATGGAAAATAGCCAGTAAATGAGCTGTAAATGGCCTGTAAAATACTTGTAATTTATCTGTAAGCTATCTGTAAAATATTTGTAAACACCTGTATTTTTTAAATAGTTACGTAAAATTTTTACGTGCCAAAATCGCGTAAAGCACCCGCAAAATGCGACACTTTACGTTGGGGATAGCACATAAATTTCTATGTGATTACGTGGAAAATACATATTTTTGGCAAATATTTTTCATACCTTTACATAACATATTACATGTGTTTTTCATTCAATCCTATGAATTTACATGTAATAAAACAATTTACATTATTTTGACAAACATTTTTCATACCTTTATATAACAAATCACGTGTATTTTTTTATTCAATTCCATGAATTTATATGCAACAAAGCACATAATTAGCACATGAACTATGACAATTTACATTAGAATTTTGTGAGTTTTTCATGTTTTTTACATGATATATCATATATATTGACGTTCTTTTTCGTCTTATTATATATTAATAATATGGTATTTATATTGTTTTACATTAGATTACATGTATTTTTGACTAATTGTAATTCTATTTCATCTTTTTGCGGGTTCTCTTGCTGGGTGCATTAAAAAATACAGGCTCTTTTCCTTTTTTGTTTTGAAACTTCGATTTCCAATTTATTATTGTTAATTAAAAAATATCAGTATGGTGAAATAATAAAAAATCATCACTTGATACTGTCATTGTTAATTAAAAAAATAATCAATAAGTTAAAATAATAAAAAAATTTATTTATTTGTTTCAAGTTTGAGACTTTCAATATCTGATTCATTGCTTGATACTAATCAAAAAAATTAATAAGATAAAATTGACTTGCAATAATTCATCTTGCAAGTTCTTTTTCTTTTTGTTTTTTGTTTATTTATTACAAATTTATTCTGATTCATCAATTGATTTTAATGTCACTAATTAAAAAAGATAATTACAATAAAATAAGATAATAAAAAAACAGATTATAATACTCATCTTACAAAATAGTTGCATTTCCTTTTTCCTTTTTTTTCTTGCTTGAGATAATAATAAAATTCAGGTTATAATATCTATCTGACAAGATAAAGATGGCTATTATAAGTTTCTTTCCTTTTATTTCTTGCTTGCTACTTCAATTTTAGAACTATTATATAATATTATAAGAAAATATAAATAATATCAAAAGATAATAAATAATATATAATTTGAAAAAGAAGTAAAAAATTTATCATCTGATTTTTTTTCTTTTAAATATAATATAAATCTATATATAAATTGAATACTCAATAATAAATTCAAGTATTATAAATAATATGATGCAATACCTATTTTGATCCTGAAGTATTTGTTTAAAACCTTTAAAAAATATCTATTCCTAAAAATCAAATTTTTCTTTATACCGACTCAAAAAAAATTTATTTTTTTTGAAAAAGAAAAATAAAAATTCATACAAATTGCTTTAATTCATTTTTTAACAAGAACTGTTTCAAGAATTCTATAAATTATGATTTAAAGAAATTTTGGCTTGTCTTATTATATTATTAAAGTAAGATTTTATATCGATATAATGAATTTTTTGTTAAGACTAAATATGATATTGATTTTTGACTCTTTCAAGAGGCTTCTCAATTGGTTAAATACATGAATTTAAAACTAAATCTAGTATCGGTATTGAAAAACGTTTTGTCTTTTCAAATATATTACTATTACTTTTTTGGGTAACTTAATTATCAATAATCATGTACAAAATCTAAATTATTTTTACTGATTAAATCAATTACTCACTTGATAAATTTTCAGCTAAATAAAATTTTTATTAAATCAACTTATAAAAATACAGTCGCACCTCTCTATAAGAATACGCTATATAAGAACAAATTACTTATAAGAACAATTTTTCAAAAACAAGTTTATAAAGTATATTAAAATTTCCCTCTATAAACCAAGTTTTTTTGTCTACCGACCATGTTCTTACAGAGAGGTGTGACTGTAATGGATAATATTTAATTCACTTATAAACCGAAAGAAACGTAATAATTTTGAAATTTTTTTTATTATTATTATTAAATTTTAATTTAGCATTTAAATTACCACTAAAACTTTGCATTTTTAATGCCAGCCAAAGTTATAGTTTGACAAACGTGCATCAATATTTATTCACCAAATACGGACATTTGACGTTACTTTTTATTCCCATCGACATTGTTATCAATTTTTTCATTTACTTGCTACAAATAAATTTCGTAAGATACATTAATACCCGTTTATCGTTTTACTGTTTGCAGATTTAAAGATTCAAAATATCAAAAAACAATGACCTTAGAATATACAAACATCGAGGACTTTCCGGAGGTAATTCTTCAACAAAACTACAGTAATATTTGTTACTTATCGTTATAATATTAATTCAATACATGTATATAACACTTCAAAGATTGTCACAGATCTCCGGAAAACATTCTCTAAAAACGTAACAAAATCGATTGCATATCGAAAACAACAGCTCCAACAACTTTATTACTTGATTGAGGAAAACGAAGAATTAATTTTCGACGCGGTCGCCAAAGATTTTCAGAGATCGAGAACAGAGGCTTGGCTAGGTGAAACGGCATTGCTTAAGGCGGAAATTATCGAATTTGTCAATAAATTGGATGAATGGGCGAAACCGCAAATTGTTGAAACGTCAATTGCGTACAAGTTTAATAAGTGCTACATTATCAAAGAGCCAATAGGTTTTTAAACAGACATTTTTGTTTTCGAATTTTGCGAATTAACTTTCAAATGAATTAATTCACTGATAAATAATGTAGGAACCGTTCTCATTATTGGAACGTGGAACTATCCGATATCGCTATCACTAGCTCCATTTGCAGGAGCAATGGCAGCGGGTTGCACAGCAATCTGTAAACCATCTGAGGTTGCCACCCATTCTGCTAAACTCATAGGCGAGTTGTTCCCGAAATATCTAGATCATAATGCCTATCGCATTGTGCAAGCCGGACCGGAAGGAACTGTCAAGTTGCTCGAACAGAAGTTTGACCACATTTTCTATACGGGTTCAACTGCTGTCGGGAAAAAGGTTATGGAAGCTGCTGCGAAAAATTTAACACCTGTTACTCTTGAACTTGGCGGTAAGAGTCCAGTAATTGTGGCAAATGATGCGAATATTCTGATTTCTGCTAAGCGTATTATTTGGGGAAAGATTTATAATTGTGGACAGGTAAATTTTTTTAATTTTTGTGAGTCTGTTTTATTGATATGTTTCCATGTTCTAATATAACGGCAACATCTAAGACATGCATAGCGCCGGACTACATCATCTGCGAAAGACTAGTGCAAACTGCGTTGATAGATTCAATTCCTAAAGTCCTTGAAGAATTCCTAGGAGAAAATATAAAACAAAGTAAAGACTATGCACGTATCGTGAATCAACGACACTTTGATCGTCTGCAGAATATGCTTCTATCGACCAAAGGAAACATATTAATCGGCGGAGATTCCGATCGTGATGATTTATACATTGCACCAACCGTGGTGACTGATGTCACAAAAGAAGATAGTCTAATGCAGGAAGAAATTTTTGGTCCGATATTGCCGATTGTAGTTGTTGAAGATATCGACGAAGCTATCGAGTTCGTGAATAACAGAGAAATACCATTAGCTCTTTATCCATTTACTAGTAGTAAGAAACTAGCAAAGCATAGTGAGTCTTTTCTATTTATCTTCGCTTTCATTAGAATTTGATCCGGAAATTATACACATGTAATATTTTTAATTTGTAGTACTTGACAATACGCAATCTGGTGGTGTATGCGTGAACGATTGTATTTTACATTTTGCAAGTAAGTTTCTTTCACTTAGAAATATTTTCCTGGACGTGTAATAAACATTCCATTTTTTCAAAGTTCCAACTCTACCATTCGGTGGCAAAGGAAACTCCGGAATGGGCAACTACCATGGCAAGAAATCATTTGACACATTCACTCATGAACGCAGCACAAATGAAACACCATACTACGTCGAGAAACTTTTAGGTTCGCGATATCCACCCTACACAAACTTCAAAATATGGCTCTTGCAGCTATTGATTCATGTTAGACCAAATTTTCCAAGGAATACATGGAGTGATCGGATGCGGCGCTTATTTGTAAAGATTTTGAAGTTTATCGTGTATTCAGCTTTTCTTTCTTATTTAGGTAGTCCTTTAGTTGGAAGGGGGTATAAATATTTGTCTCAATACTAAATTTATGAAGGTTTTCAATTAAATTTGATTATTATTTTGCAAATTAATCTTAAACTTATTTATTAGGTTATCAAGCATATATATTTAAAATTTTGTATGATTTAATTGAATAACAAATAAATTTTAAATTTTTATAATCAATTTTTGTTAAAAAAAATTTTAATAAAAAAATACTAATTAAAAAGAATTTTATTAAGATAAGCTTATTAAATGCTTTTAAGTAAACTTGTTCACTAAATATCAAGCATATATATTCTTTGAATATAAGCAAAAATAGTAATTGTGGTTTTTTTGTTCCACACTGTATGAAGTTAACTATTCTTATACTTCGATCCTTAGTATCATATGACAAATATTGACGAAAGCCTTTATTTCCATACGAAACAAGAAAAAAATTGTAATTTTTTCTGTAATTCTTTCACAAATCAAAGAGTTAAAGAAAATAGGAGGATTTTTACTTGATGTATCCGTAAAAATCTTCACACGCATAACGGTAAAAATATTATAAATGCATGTTTTGATTTAAATATCACAGTCACAAAACTGAAGCCTGTTAATTCTGGTTAATTCAAAGTCACATGATTTGGTTTTAATGTTGGCCAAAATTATGTGTTGTTTACAATTTTCGTATGTTTGGCCTGAATTGTGGCTTAATTTCTCAATGCCAGCTCTGTGATCCACGACATTGCTATATTCCAACATTGGGCCAATGTAAAGAGACAAAATCCGAATTCAGCAACGTATTGGTGAAAAATGTTTAATTGGAAAAATCCACAGCAAAATTGAAACGTCAGTATCCATAACTTCATACAAATTCCGTAGTTTTTTGCTGCATGTGCATGTAATTTGATTTTCATGAATTACACTTTGTATGTTTTGTATGAATATGTTATTGCAGAGGACAACGAATAAGAAAACTTTTGCGCTAGAGAAATATATATAGTTCATGTAACTATGTTTGATTAATTCTCATATCATAGATATCGATATAAAAGGTTAAGATCCCGTATTAATAACGATAAAAAAGGTTTACCGTTATAAATGAGGAATAATCTGATTATAGTATAGTTGAAATTAAAATTTATACGTACATGAACATGTATATCGTTAAGGCACTAAATTGATCACTGTAAATATTACCAATTTAGAAAAAACTTATCATAAAGTCGAGTTACTTTGGCTGAAGATTCTTTAAAAATTTTGCCTAGCTTAGCAAGATTTAGCAACATCTCTTGTGTCATAAGAATGCTAATATAGAAGCGAAGTTGGGCTTTCAGCGATGATTTTCTATAGTAAACTATGTAAATTTGAGCGTGTGAACGATTGTCGATCTCTTAATTAATACACTTGCTCAAAAATTAAGGGACAAATTGATCGACCGATATTAATTAATTTAAAACTCAAAATATTTTTGTTAGAATTTTCTGACCTAATTGATGAGAGCTCATAAATACCAAAATTTTGCTTTAAATTCTTGTTCCAAAGTTCCGAATTATGCTAATAAAAAAATAACTGGATTTTACTAGCATAATTTGGAGCTTTGGAACCTAATGACTCAACGAATTTAATGCAAAATTTGGTATTTATGAGCTCTCATCAATTAAAGCGCATTTTTTATAAGTAAAAAACATGTAATTAATAATGATCACTTAATACATTCTTCTTTATTAGCTTTAAAATGAGCATAGTGATAGGAATCAAATACATGCACATTTAAGCCTAGGATTTTTATTCGTAAAACTTTTCGTGTATGTTTTACTATAATTCAAATATTCGTTGATTGTATCTGGATTGGAAACTTTTGTCAGCCAATTCCCCATCAAAGAATACGATTCGACTTAAATGTGAAGTACTCAGACACCGAACGTTTTAATTGCAATGGAAAACAGGAAAAATTTATCATAGCGATAATACATCATAGGAAGACAAAAAATTCATTTAATGTAGCTTATCATATAAAAAATATAAAATCGCAATCATTTATTCACCAAAGCTTCCCCCGAATTCTACGAGCTTGTCGTGCAGAACTCGTAGCTCCAATTGATACCATGTCAAAAATTAAAGCACCAGGCCAAATTGGTTTATCGATGTACGGGTTTGGGTATTTGATATCTACGTGTGGTCGGTACCTAACATAATCAAGCCACTACAAAATTTAAATCGTTAAAAGATCAGGCCTAGTAAATTAACTCGGCTCTTTCCAAACAACTGATTTTATTCGGTTTAAACTTACCAACCCAGCTTTAATATATTTCTTTTCCTCAAATATACTAAAAGATAAACTATATCTTTTTCCTGTATTATTCTTTTTTTCGGGTATTTTGATTACATAAGACAGCATAAGTTCTACCCATACATCACGACTTGCGCATGTTTGATATGTATGATTTCGAGGAGAACATGTGTATGTTTCCTTAAGATTCTTCTTACGATCCTGATTATTTTGAATATAAATTTCATTGAAATTTTGATTAAGTTTTACGAAAGATGAAACTAGAAATTATAAGTTACCAAAAGTTCTGTACAGAATATTAATCCGCCGAGACCTTGATGTTCTTTTTCGCATTTCATACGAATCAAAATATCATACTTTCCTGGCGCTATCGATCTTGTAATATTTGTGTTAATCTAAAATTTATACATGGAATTGTTGTTTATATATACTTATTAATGGGTGCTCCATTAATACCTTTAATAACTGACAGAATTACCTCAAACGACCAAATGTTTTGTAAATGAAGTACTTTTCCAAAGCGACTAAACGAATAAAATAGCTCAAAATCGGATAAAAATGAAATGAACTGCACAAAGCGTTTTAATGTGTATACCTTTCTTCGTCTTGCACGAATCGGTAACGCGATGCTTGAATATTGCTAGACACACATTTTTCATCTTCACCAAAGTATGAAAGTGAAGTTCCTAAAATGATGCCAATATTCTATTGATAATTCTTTTTTACCACGGATACAATTTGATATTAACTCACGTAGTTTATTATATAGAGTTTGCCATCGCACACATTCTGCATCTTTGGTTAATGTTGAATTCCATTCATTGATAATGGCACTACTGAATTCATTTTGGCAGGCGAATTTCCAAACGAGGTCGTCTCGTGTGTGAGTTAGCAAATTTTTATTTACCTTTTTATATATGAAAGATTAAATAAAAAATTAGTGACTACAAAAGTTTGATTATCAAACAACCAGAGAACTAAATTACCAAAGAAATCGAGTAAAGATCAATTCCGTTTAAAAATGATAAAATTTTTGCAATAATTTCATGTGGAAATTTCTCGAAAATATCCTTCATGATACATTTATTTAAAAAAATCAGACAAGAAAAAGATTACGACCACGTTTATATATTTATAATGACAAGAAAAAAGATATATCCGTTAATGGTAAAAAAAGGGGCCACCGACCTAATATCAAGACATCCGGTGTTCTCTTTATCTTTTTGCGTTTCAGTTAGGGTTAGAGTCAGCGTTAGGATCATATGATTATAACAACATATATACAAAATAACGCAGGAAACATTTTTCATTAGAACATAAAAGACAATTTTATAGACAATATTTCGAGATATAAGCTGTTTTTCAAATTAAACATTTATTTTGAATTTTCGTGTTGATTAGTCAAGGGGGGATACCGGGATGGTTACTTTCAGATCGGAGACAGATCGAAATCACATGATCTACCCTATTACATGCACATGTGCTTTGTTACATAAACCATCGACCAAGTCTTGGCAAAAACGTGTTACCGTAAATCAAAACTATATGTGAATTTTTATTTGGCCGAAAATTTTAATAACGATAATCTCTCTGTTTATATCAATATGCAATTATTTACTTGGCTTTCTAGGACAAATCTTTATATCAATTGGTAACTTAAATGTAAATTTGGCTTCGTAACTTTGTTCTTTAGAACTTAATCTATGCAAATTTTTGTTTTAAGGCTGTGCATCTAATTAAAAATTCGAACTTGTATGTAAATAATTACGTACATGCACATGTTAATAAATATTTTTAATTATCGATATTATTACACAAAAATAAATCTTTAATACTGTACATGTATCGCATAGAGTTTGATTTACATTAGTCATGTACATGTGCATGTATACTACAGGGCTGTGTTTAAACATGTCTAATTAGATAAATGGTTTTAGACAAGTCTAAATTAAATAACCTTTTTAGCCATATTGATTTTCCATCCTCCCTAAAAAAAAATACAATTAGAGCAATTTTCTTCGAAAAAAATATGTTAAAATAGAGAACTTTAGCTTGAGTTAAAAATAAAAAATATTTATTGATAAAATTAAAAATTTTATATATAATAAAAATATATATATTACCAATTACAATTAGTAAAAATTCAAGCATTAATATATAAGTAATTATTAAATGTTACATATTAAACATCAAATTTATTAGTAAAATATAATAAAATTAAATTTTTTTGTATTAAAATTTATTTTATTAATAAATATTTTTTATTTTTATATTAAAATAAAATTCATAATTTATAATTTAACATATATTATTCTTTCAGAAAAAATTAAAATATATATTAAATTATAAATTATAAATTAATTTAATATAAAAATATTTATTAATAAATTGTAAATTTAATATAAAGAGAAAATTTTTAATCTTTATTATATTTTATTAATAGATTTGATCTTTAATTAAAAAGACTTATTGAAAATTATATTAAAATATTGAAATTTTGAGTTATATCAAGCTATATATTATAATTTTGATCTTTAACAAATCAGTTATATTATTAAAATTCAAAAAATTTATATAGATTATATATAAATAGTTTATTATATAATTTCAACTTTAATATTTCATTAATTATCAAAATTCACAAATTTTAAAAAGTTTCTTTATCTTTACTTCAAATTCATATAAATATTCTAATACAAAGTATAATAATATATAAATCAATAATTTAATTTCTTTTTTTAAAAAAAAGTTGCAAATACAATATTTTTATTTTAATATTGTACTTTATAATCTAATAATATATTTCTTTCATTTCTAATATATAATAGTGATTAAAAGTAATGACTCAGAGGCTAAATTTATTAATAAAACATAGTGAAATTGAAATTTTCTCTCTATATTAAAATTTATAATTTTATTAAGAAATAATTTTTATTCTTATATCAAATTAAAGTTTATTAGTTGTAGTTTAATATATATTTTTTTCAGATTTTTTAGATTTTTTCTGAAAGTGTTGTTTTAATTATAAAGTTAATGCAAAAATTTTTACTAATTAAAAATGAAATTTAATTAATGTACTGTCTTTACAATTAGAGCAACACTTTCAGAAAAATCTAAAAAATCTGAAAAAAATATATATTAAACTACAACTGATAAACTTTATTTTGATATAAGAATAAAAATTATTTTTTAATAAAAGAGAAAATTTCAATTTTCACTATTTTTTATTAATAAATTTAGCCTCTAAGTCATTACTTTTGGTCATCACTGTATGAATAAATTTTCTATTTTTTTAAAAAAAAATAAAAACAAGTGTATTGGAAATAGTATTATTATGTCCAATTGCAAAAGAGATTTGGATCAAGCTATAAGGTTACAAATGGTATCATGAAAAATATTTAGACAAAAAAGAGAAGCAAAAGTCGATTTTATTTTAAAAAATATACCAGTTTCAATTGGAAACATTTTTTGACGGTACTTCGAATGGTGAAGTTGCATTTGAGTGATGCTTCGTCAGTTTTTCTATTTATTTTATTTAATACACACTATAATTTCTTTATGCTCTTTAGGACATTATAAAGAGCTATAATACTAAAAAGCTAAATGCTCAGTTTATAATCTAAAAGAAGTCTGTCTATTCTCTGGGATATGTACTCATCATGCAAGATATAGATATATATCATCACTCATCTCTTATAATCTCGTACATAACCATCCCAAAACTATAAAAACGGCAGCTTTAATGCATAGTTTTTCATTTAGAATATCTGGATTCATGGTGGAACACTCCATATATTCCATGATTTTATTTTTATATCTGATAGGTTAGTGAGCTCAAAGTTAGCAATTAAAACAATCTAATATAATAATATATTACAGAATGAAGTCACAATACACAAATTATTTTCTGTGAATTGTTGAGAATATCATTTAAATATATTAATTTTTTTTCAATTTTAAAGTATGTATTTGGATTTAATATCGATATATACTGCACTGTATTTGCCATTTTGTTTTCAACATTGAGTATTTCATTAAAAATAACCGAAATTAGATTTTAGATTCCATGATATTTTTATTTTTAAATGTTTGAATATACAATCGTACCTCTATATAAGGACATGCTTTATAAGAACATCATATAAAAACCTCTTTATAATAATATTGATATTTGAAACCGGCTATTATCAAACTTAATGACTCAACTTTGCTCTTATAAAAAAGCATAGCTGTATTAGAAAGCAACTAACTTTCACTTTTAGAACCCGTTCATTTATCTCTTTGTAAACTTCAGAATGGTTTGTTTTGAATTGTGTAATGATCTCAACACATTTTTGCGTACTTCAGTGGATTTAAACTTATTTTCTTTATAATTCTTTACTTTATACAATCAAATTGTCTGCAACATTGGTAAATCTTTTTTATTACCTGAAAAATTCTCGGAGTTTACCGAATTCCTTACTGTTATAGCCCGCACAGAAAGTAATGACAGACAGTTTTTTAAAAAAATAAATAAAACTTAGAATAATAATCATATATAAAAATTTATTTTCAGAATGTGTATGACCAGGACTTTTTGTGGGCTGTACATGCAATTTTTCCATAAAAGGTGATAATGCGTAAATACGAAAATGGTAATGATAAATTTTCTGCTAAGTACAGTAAATATACATGTATTTATTTTTACCAAAAATAATTGCACGCTAATACTTTGTATATAAAATCAATTCATGTTATAGCAAATGCTAGATTTCAAGCTAAAAATGTACAATCACGTTTCTTATATTTTTTTCATCACAACGTTTTTACATGTTGAAAAAGGTTGATGCATGTACAGTGGCCTATCATAAATCACCGGACACTTGATGACGATCATCATCAATGCAAATTTATTGCCAACTTAAAACTGGATTATCCTGACAACTACCGTATCAATTTCAACAAATTTTGGTTTATTTGTAAGATGAAAATAAACTGTTTCGTTTTGTTTATTAATATTTTGTTGGGTAGCCATTACTAGCTATGACTGCTGCAACTCGACGTGGCATACTATCAACGAGATTTTTGTATTTACTTTCATCAATTTGCAGCCACTCGTTCTGGAGTATTTGCCATAATTCTTCACAATTTTTGGGTAATGGTTCATGTATTCGAACTCGTCTTTCTAATTCATCCCATAAATGTTCTATGGGATTCAAGTCAGGGCTCTGGGCGGGCCATGGAATACTACTTATATTATTTTCTATCTTCCATTTTTTAGTTTTGCTTGCTGTATGGACAGGTGCATTATCTTCCTAAAAAACATAATCCTCCTTATTATCTAGAGTATCTAGGAATAGTAACAAATGGTTTTCTAGCACATCTATGTACACATTGGCTATCACTCTCCCCTCCAATCTAACTAACGGACCAAGGCCATTTTTTGTGAAACAACCCTACACCATTACTCTTTTTTGACCCAATTTAAATGTTGGAATAAGGCATCCAATATCATATTTTTCATGAGATTGTCTCCAAACATACTTCTTATCATCTCCTCTGAATAATTCGAATCTAGATTCATCACTCCAAATAATGGTTTCACATTCTTTTTTCCATGTTTGCCATTCCTGAACCCAGAGAAGTCTCTTTTGCTGATTAACTTCATTTACAAGCTGTTTTCTGGTTCTAATTCAACCAAAGAAATTGTAATAAAATTAGAATAATTATATTAGATTTATATTTTATTTTACAGATCATTACTGCATCACATACTGTGTCATATATGACTTACTGTGTCACAATCACCTGATTATGCCAAGAAAAGTCACATAGTATATTTGAGTTATTTTAGTCATAGATAGTTTTCTTAGTAGAATTTCTCTTCTCTTATTCTACTAATTTAGCTAGTGTATTACTAAATTTATATATTTCATTTATAATCATTTATTTCTTTATTTATTTTATATAAGTATTATTTATTATTAATTTATTTATTTTATTATTAATTTTATATAATATTAATTTATTATTTAAAGATGCTGTATTTGTTCTGTAATTTTAAGTATCAACATATTGAATAAAGAATAAGTTTTAA